TTTGATTGGTTAATTATCACGGGTGATCACATGTAGATCCATAAAAATTAGCCAATCATATGAATTTCTTCCTATGACCATCCGCCAAATCTAGACTGTAGTATTATAAATGTTTTTAAATTCTTTATTTCTTAAAGTTATAACCAGTTTACTGGGTACAGTACAATAAAAAAAAATTCCAATTTATCGGATATAACAATAAAAAAAAAATCTTTATTTTTTAAATAAAAATATATAACTACCGGTAGTATTAAAGTTCTAGTTTATCGGGTACAGTACAATAACAAAAAACCCCCCGCTTCTATTTTTAACTGGTCCTGGACCGGTCTCAAGACCGTGGACTGAATAATCATAGGACCGGTTAATAAGACCGGTAAATTTTGATGAAAATTTTTTTATTTTAATTCCTCAAAAAAATTGAATTATCGAAAACTAGCTAAGCTTTTCCAGGTTTTAAGCGATGAAATCTTGATAACTACCTATCTAAAATTGATGAAAACTTTTTATTTTAATTCTATAGGTTTATAGAATTAACGTTAAAATAAAAAAATTACATCGATTTTAGTAGTTATTGAGATATTCTCGTTCAAAGTTCCTCATAATTACCTAAATTTTTTATTTTATTAATAAATACGAATAAATCTATTTTACGTTTATGGGAGGAATTGGGAAGACACGTGATCCTATCATTTCCTCACTTGCATTTCTTCACTTGCATTCTTCACTCACAGCCGGCTTGCTTCAGCAGGCGGGAAACCACCGGCTGCAATAATCCTACAGCAACTCCCAGCGCAATTACTACAGCCGGCTTGCTTCGGCAGGCGAGAAACCACCGGCTACGATTGCTTTTCACGGGATGTCGTTGCCGTTCTTGCCATCAATCACTTCTTTCATACTTCTGAAAACTTTCAATAAAAATATCCTACGGCCTAAATTATTTGTAATGCGAATGCTTTTCGAAATTTTTAATAGATTATATAAAGGTAAATTGTCACCAGATTTGTAATTCGTATTTTAATTTTTAAATAAATCCTGTATAAAATTACTTCGAATGGATTCCGGCCATTACCCATGCTTTCAACAATGATTGATCGATTTGACATTTTGTTTCCGAAGGAAAACAATCCACATTTTGTAAATCATTTGCTTGAACACGAGTTGTATTGGCATCCTCAATTAACTTTTGACGCCAGTAATGGCTAATATATTCAGGGCATTTTACACAGTAATTGGCCAAGTGTGCCTTCATGGTTTATTTCCCACGTTCCCAAATAGCTGAACAGTGAAAACAAGTTGCTTTATAATGATCGTTGCCCCTCCAGGACCTTTTATATAAAATGCCAAATTTCATCAACGAACTTTCGCTTTCATATTAAGAGAAATACCAAACAAAAAAAACTTTATTATATTTTTTATATATTATAAAATAAACTACGGTATGTACATATGTAGTAAATCAATTACGTATACACGTATATACGTAGTTTATTTATCATTATCATTACTCGAATTACAATTTACTGCATAAATACGACATACTACAAGAATTACAGTCTATAACATAATATTTAATATGACCAAAGTTACCACCTACGTCAATACTACCAAAAAATTGCAACTTCACTACAATCGGTCGTAATTCATTACCTCAATATAACTAAATCACTAGTCCCGTAGCATTTGCACCAATCTGCGACACATCACACACCGTACAAAGTTTACCTTGATGTTCAGGCAAGTATGATGCGTGACAATATGGACATTCAATGGAAGAACTGCCCTTATAAATAGGTGTATAAGAAATACCGCAAACTACGAATGGATTATATTGATCATAATCTAAAGTAACTTCATCACGTGGAGTCTTATCGGAGAGTGTCTGAATTTGACGGGCCTGGTAAAAATAAAAAATAAAAAAATAAGCAAAAGATTTGTATTTCAATAATAATCACTTTTTAAAATATCATACCTGTGTGGCAACTTGTTGTGGTGGTGCTAATTCTAATAATCTTCTAGCAAACATGGATGCTGTTAGGCAATTCTTTGCTTTATAATTCAAAGTCATTGCAGACCGTAAACTTAGTTGTAAATGAGCTGGTTGTAATCGACAATGAGTGAAATATGCTGCCAATTCAAGTGCTTTTTTCGTGTTTTCTGGATTATCCAGTGGATATTTACGACGCATTTGTTCCATAGATAACCCGACTATATACTCTCGACAAACTTCTATGAGTTGATTTACCTATAAAATATATTGTCAAATTTATGCTTAATACGTTAATGTGAATAAATATAAATATGTAAACAGTAAATAAGTAAATAAATAAAATATATAATAAATTGTATATACCTCATCTACTTCTGACTTCTTAGACACAGAAATTAACAAAATTGAGTGAAGTATGTTACGAAATTGTATCGTTGCATCTTGAAATTTACCGAGTGTAGTCGTCTTGTAAGCTTCCTGAAGCTGAGAGGAAACGATATTCTGAAAATTATACGCTAGAATTGGCAAAACGCGACGAGTCTCGGTTTCTTCAGGATTTCGTCGAACATAGTTAACCAGAGGGGGAAGTGATACATTACAAGACAAATATGTACGTGTTGCTTGGAATGTTTTCAAAAAGTGTGATTTTAAAGGTTCGAAATTAACTGCCCCAACTTGTCTATTAAGAAGCTAAATTAAACGTATTAAAAGTTTATTAAAATTTTATTCACTGTCAACAAGTAATAATAACAATACGGTAATAGTACCTGCATCGCCGTCTCGAACGATCCTGCTGCAACGTGGTTAGCAGCCAAAGGTGAATTGTGTATCCAAAGTTCAGATTCATTAGTGCCTGAAGTTGGAGGAACGAATTCTCCATGTGTTCCATTAGAAAGTTCTTGAGAGATCTCGTTATTAAGTTGAACATTAAGATCTGCATCAATATCCCATCCTGAACCTTCTTCAAGAGCTTCGCCTTCTATTCGTAGATCGTCAACGACTTTCTCAGTTACACCGTTAAATCCAAGATCATCATCCCCTCCCCAATCACCTCCAACATCATCAAGGCCTTCGTTTGCGTCAGTGAAAGATAGAGGTGCGGCAAGTGGATTGGTATCAGTAGTTATAAATGCACTATCAAAGAATGAACGTGATACCGTTAACAACGGCCAATTAGAATCTGTATGTTTAAGGATTGGCGTTGGTGGTTTCAATAATTGTCCATTTGTAGGCAAATCAGTAATATCATCAGCGGTAAGCCCAGAAGAGGTTAAAATTGATTCGGCTTCTTCGGTAAGACCATGGCTTTGCGCGGTAAGGTATGCAAGTGGCACTGACAAGGTTAAAATTTGATTCATTACTTCTACCACAATAAATAATAATAAAATTAAGATAATAAAATTGTAACGATTTGATACATTGTCCAACTTCTTTTAACAGTTTGACACGTTCCTCAACGTCACCTAAGAAAAGTGAATTATGAAACCGTGACATATGGTCGCTTCTTAATTCGGCGATCTTTAACATTTTTCTCAATTTTTCCAAATTTCCAGTAACCAAATATATAAATGAAAGACGATCAAAATTTTTTACTCTCTGATATGCCATTTCTACAATCTGAAAATTAAGTCAATAACTTAAACGCGTATAAAAAAAAGAAAGTATTATTATGATGCAAATAGCGAAACAAACCTGATGATTGCCTTGGCGTAACGCTTCAACACCCAATGTATTCCAACAATCTTCACGATCCATTGCTTTTGCAGTTTCTAATGCTACATCAATATTTCCGCATTCAATAGCGAGATCAAAACGAGTTTTGTCATCACGTACAAAATGCAATGCAATCTAACACATATAGAGTACGTTAATAAAAAAATATATATATATAACAATAATAAATTATATTAAATGTCGCGGATGATCGTGAAATCGGATGATGGTGAAATTTAGGGTCTCAATTTGAAAATATAAGCCCTACCAAAATCCACCTATACTCTTTTACTAATAACTCTAACCCTAAATCCTAAATTAACTATAAAAAAAAAAAGCCCACAAAAAAGGCCACCAAAAAATTTTAAAAATCGCACATAAAATAGATCCAAATTTCACCATCATCCGATTTCACGATCATCCGTGACATTAAATGTTGGGGATGATGCTGAAACTGACTTATTTTAATATGAAATTTTAAAAATTTTGGGGGACGTTTTTTTGGCTTTTATTTTTGTAGTTAGGTTAGGGTTTAAGGCTAGTGTTTATAATAAAAATATATAGGTGGATTTTAGTAGGGTTTATGTTTTTAAATCGAGACCCCAAGTTTCAGAATCATCCTGTTTCAACATCATCCTCGACATTAGATTATAGTTTTGAGTAATACCTCGGGATACCCTTTTTTCTGTAAATATGCGATAATAGATTGTCCGACTAAATTTGAACTGCGAATTATTTGAAGTACTTCATCATAATTACGCTTAATAAGAGCAAGCTTAAATCGATATTCTGTAGGATCAATGCTGATAACACGGGTTTTGCCATCCCTATCAAGGCAATAAACATTTTTTCCTTTCACTTTGGTGAGATAAACGGGTTGATCAAGTGTACGAATTATTCCATTATCACTATAAAAATAATTGATTATCATAGTGTCATGAATCAGATGAATCGTAATTTAACAATAATTTGTAGCATACCCCTGTGAGAGTGCATATTTGATGTGATTGAGAGTGGAATATACAAATATACCAGCATCATCCCATGCACCACTCTTAATTCTAATTGTCTCATGAATCAAACAACTTTCATCTAAAGTCTTATTTGCAATAGTTATAGCTTTTGTAAATAACAAACAGCACGTATTAATGATATTTTAATAAATTGATAATATAATAATAAACAAAAATTAGAATAATATTAACTACTTACTATGTTTGCTTAAAAGCGCTACTTGACTATGGTCAGAAGACCAAACTACATATTTTACAGGTGGTGTATTAACTTCGGAAACTATTTGACGTTGTTGAATATCATATAGAATCACTGAAGTTGGTGTACTAAGAAGCAGAAGATTACTGCTACCAGCATTAAATATCTCGTTCACCGTTGCTGAAGGTTTAACAGATTTTGTAGTAGCATTAGAGAGATCTCTAATCTCAATTTGCTAAAGTCCATTAAAAAAGAAAAAAAAATCTTAGTCAAAGAACGATTCAATATTAATCAAAACAATTCAATGACATTTACTTGACGAGATTTATCCAAAACTGCAAACCGATTTCTAGCAATAAAAATTGCAGAAGTCCCCGGACCACGTTTACCATCACCACTAACTTCCCGTGGTTCGCCACCAATTTCTTTTGGTAAATGAAACAAATCAAAACTACCCCCGTCTGCAGTCTAATAATATTAATTAACAATATTAATAATCTTTCCGATGATTAGAAGATTGTTAAATACAATCACACAACCAACCGTAGTAATTATAACAGCACGTTCAGCTGGATTATATGATAAAGCCCTTGGTTGCATATATTGTCCACCAATTTTTCTAACTGAGAGAACTGAAACGTCTGAATTATTTGTAAAGTCAAAAACTCGCAAATACTTGTCTTTGATATAATAAAGATTATGTTGATGAACTGCGTATGCTGGACGTTCTCTTTCCAGTTTGAACACAATCAGACCATTATCGTGACCTTTCATAATAAGAAAAAAAAGTTTTTTTTTTTTTTTAAATAATAATAATAATAATAAATGTAATATCAAAATAATTGAGGCACACGTACCAGCAGCAAATAGGTTTAATTCTGGATGAGCTGTCAAGACCCAAAACCTATCATGCTCGCGTCGAAAAGTTTGAACAAGTGTTCTTTTTGACATATCCCAAACTCGGATGGTTTTGTCTTCAGCATCAGAAATAATCAATTCCTGTCTAGGATGAAATAAAGCGGCAGATACATTATTGAAATGGCCACGACATGTATCGACTTCCCAAGCCTTGGCATCTAGAATATTAAATAGCAGATGAATTTATCTGATGTTTGACTACGGATAATTTATAAAAGGACAGATACCATTC